CTTGCTGAAGTCAAGGTAGATGACATGTGCTGCCCTCCCCTCATCCAACCAACCGGTTATGGCATCATAGAAGGCTATCAGATTGGTCATACATGATTTACCCTTGGTAAACCCGTGTTGCCCACTTCCAATAACCCCCCACTCTTCAACTTGTTTGGAGATGACATCTAGTATGAGTCTCTCCATCACCTTCCCAGGGACAGAGGTGAGACTAACTGGTCTGTAATTCCCAGGGTCCTCCTTCTTGCCCTTTTTGAAGACTGGAGTGATGTTGGCCTTCCTCCAGTCCTCAGGCACCTCTCCTGTTCTCCATGACTTCTCAAAGATGATCGAGAGTGGTCCAGCGATAACGTCTGCCAGCTCCCTCAGCACTCGTGGGTGCAACCCATCAGGGCCCATGGACTTATGAATGTCCAGTTTGGCCAAGTGGGCCCGAACCTGGTCCTCATCTACTTGAGGAAAATTTTCCTCTCTCCATACCGTCCCCCTTGCCTCCAAGGTCACAGATTCATGAGGGGCAGTCCTAACAGTGAAAACTGAGGAAAAGAAAGCATTCAGCAGCTCTCTCATTTCTCTCTGCCCCGCACACAGGCTGGGGTCTTTCCACCGGTGTCTCACACCAGCCTTTTCCGTGGCATTAGGGGCTGTTCATTGCCAAAAGCAGCTCAAGTCCTTGCAGAAGACCGTGGGGTGAGTGGGGTGGGGGTGTCAGGCAGGGACACCTCTGCTGACATGTTGCCGTTGCCTGGGGATGCACCAGTAGAAAACAGATCCCACCAGGCACCCTGCCTGGCTGCCCCTGGTTTTCTACCATGTGTCATTCAGCAGAGGAAGCATGGATGGTCTGGTGACCATCTCCTCTGAGTTTGGGTCTCTTTGTCCTCAGAGACTGCTCCTATGGCTGGGACCAAGGAATGTAGCCATCCATTGGGTTCAGTCCCACCATGGGCAGTGGGAAGGTGAAGGAGAACAAATCATATGAGGAGAGGCTGAGGGAACTGGGCATGTTTAGTTTGGAGAAGAGGAGGCTGAGGGGAGACCTCATTGCCCTCTACAACTCCCTGAAAGGAGGGTGGAGAGAGGTAGGGGTTGGCCTCTTCTCCCAAGGGAATAATGGCAGGAGCAGAGGGAATGGTCTGAAGTTGGGGCAGGGGAGGTTTAGATTAGGTATCAGGAAGAATGACTTTCCTGAGAGGGTGGTCAGGCACTGGAACAGCCTGCCCAGGGAGGTGGTGGAGTCACCATCCCTGGAGGGATTGAAGAAACATGTGGACATGCTCTAGTACCTGAGACTGTTAGGGTTTTTTTTGTGTTGGACTCGATGATGTCAAAGGTCCCTTCCAACTGGGAAGATTCTGTGATGGTCTCGATGGGGTGTGTGCCAGGCTCATTGGAAGGGGACCAGGAGGTGCTGGCAGAGCTCATCCCAACCTCCCCTTCCCCACCTGTGCTGGCATCTGTGGGCTGCAATCAGCCCTCCTGCCATGATGGCCACCTCCTCCCTTAAAGAGAGCCCAGCCAGGTGCTCATGCTACCCCAGAGCTGAGCTCCAAGCACCTTCTGATGCTGCAGCCTTCCTGTGCCCACCCAAGGCAGCCCCCTGCCTGCGTGCGGGGACCGCTGCCCAACAGCCGTAGCCAGCTCTAATTGGCTGAACAGATTAATGAGTCAAAAGATTTACATCTGCTTTCCTCTCATTCTCTCTTTCTCTCTCTTCCCACCCCGTCCCACCACCCGAGCAGGTAAGGAGAGCAGTTTGGGAGAGGCCGACTTGCAGCCCAGCTCCGACCCTCCGGGAATGGACAGCAGCTACCTCAGCGTGAAGGAAGCCGGGGTGAAAGTGCCCCAGGACAGGGCCAGCACCGACCTCCCCAGCCCCATGGACAAGGCCGACTCGGAGAGCAACAAGGGCAAGAAGCGGAGGAACCGCACCACCTTCACCAGCTACCAGCTGGAGGAGCTGGAGAAGGTCTTCCAGAAGACCCACTACCCGGATGTCTATGCCAGGGAGCAGCTAGCCATGAGGACGGACCTCACTGAGGCTCGTGTACAGGTAACGGGGATGACGAGGGGGTGGGCGAGCTGCAAACAAGCCCCTGCTCTCTGGGGAAGGAAACCATGAGCCCTCCAAACTGGTTGTCCCTTGCTGTCACCTGCAGCCCCACCACAGCTTGCAAGGAGGAGCTGGAGAAGGTCTTCCAGAAGACCCACTACCCGGATGTCTATGCCAGGGAGCAGCTAGCCATGAGGACGGACCTCACTGAGGCTCGTGTACAGGTAACGGGGATGACGAGGGGGTGGGCGAGCTGCAAACAAGCCCCTGCTCTCTGGGGAAGGAAACCATGAGCCCTCCAAACTGGTTGTCCCTTGCTGTCACCTGCAGCCCCACCACAGCTTGCAAGGAGGGCTGGCATCCCTCTTGGGTACAAGGGACAGGCACAGGGACAGGAGAGAGAGAGGGATGTCCATGTCTGACAGTAATTCCAGCTCCTTTATTGGGGCTGGTGTCCTGAGCTCCAGTGACCACAGAGAGTTCTCTTGTCCTTGAGCTAAGGGGGCATCAGGCAGGTAGGCCTCACCATCATCCCAAACAAAGCTATTACAAAAACTGCTTCCTTCAGGAGAGTCGTCAGGGGACACGGGCTCATTAGGTTGAGTGGGAGCAAGCTGTCCCACGGTATGGGCTCTTCCTTCCAGTATCTCATCTCAATCTCCCCTCTTTCACTTTAAAACCTGTTCCCCTTGTCCTATTCCGGGATGTCCATGTCTGACAGTAATTCCAGCTCCTTTATTGGGGCTGGTGTCCTGAGCTCCAGTGACCACAGAGAGTTCTCTTGTCCTTGAGCTAAGGGGGCATCAGGCAGGTAGGCCTCACCATCATCCCAAACAAAGCTATTACAAAAACTGCTTCCTTCAGGAGAGTCGTCAGGGGACACGGGCTCATTAGGTTGAGTGGGAGCAAGCTGTCCCACGGTATGGGCTCTTCCTTCCAGTATCTCATCTCAATCTCCCCTCTTTCACTTTAAAACCTGTTCCCCTTGTCCTATTCCCCCTCTCCCTGATCCAGAGTCCCTCCCCATCTCTCCTGGAGCCCCTTGAGGGACTGGAAGGGGCTCTAAGGTCTCCCCGGAGCCTTCTCTTCTCCAGGCTGAACCCCCCCAACTCTCTCAGCCTGTCCTCACAGCAGAGGGGCTCCAGCCCTCGCAGCATCTTCATGGCCCTGATCCTCTACACCAGGAAGACTCCCAGGTCCCAGGCACCCCAGCTTGCCCTCAGCTCTTAACATTTACGAGCCGTCGTCACAAACGGTGGGGCCCAGCATCCTTGTATAAGTCCATTTTCCTCTGTCCATTGACTTCCAGTTTCAACCAGCTGTGGGACTCTTTTTTTTCTTTTTCCTTTCTGGCCGCCCCAATGGGTTGCAGGGCTCTTCTTCTCCACAGCTGTTTCTCTTCAGCTGCTCTTGGCGGGGGTCTCCTGGGACACCAGGCGCTGCCTTGGGTTACCAAATTCCCTTGGCTCAGCGATGGCAATGAGGTGATGGAGGGTGGTGAGCTCCTCCTGCTCACCTCTGAGCACGGATGTGTGGCTAGCAGGTCCCAGCTAGCCTGGTAGGGCTGGCTAGCAGGGCCAGGGCAGGTGAGCCAGACACATTCCACAACTTCATTATGTATGATCCACCATCTCAGGGGGTTTTCCTCCACTTTTCCACTGGATAACACCGCGGCCCAGGGGCAGAAGAACCTCTCCTGGCAGCCAGGAGGAAATCTGGCCGAGGGAGGGGGGGCAGCTTGGAGGTTTCATCCTTCCCTGAGCCAAGCACCCAAGCAGCATCCCCCCCGGCACGGGCAGCTGAGAACAGCCTTCCTCCTCCCACGACCACCACCTCTCATTTGGGGTGGTGATGACAGGGCTCACCCAACAGAGGGTCTGAAGGACTTGTCTAAGTGGCCTGGCCGCTCAAGCACTTAGCCCAGGGAGAAAGGGTGAAAGCACTTGCCTCTCACTCTGAAGGAGAAGGGTCTGAAGGACTTGTCTAAGTGGCCTGGTCGCTCAAGCACTTAGCCCGGGGAGAAAGGGTGAAAGCACTTGCCTTTCACTCTGAAGGAGGGAAGATTTAGATGAGATATTAGGAAGAAATTCTTTGCTGTGAGGGCTTTTTTCCTGAAGTGTGTTCTTTTGGGAGGGTGGTGAAGTGAAAGCTTCTCTATGTACAATCTTAGCCATGAAATTTAATTTAGTGCAACCTCAGCTTGGTGCATCCACGTGGCAAGGGAGAGTGAGATGTTCCAAGCACACAACTTCGGGCCCAGCTTGAAACGATAGGTCTCCTTTGCACAGCACCCACCTGACAAGCTGCAACGCCTTTGTGTTGGACTCCTTCATGATAGACTGCGTCACGTAGGTCCTGTGATTGCAGCCCCAGAGCCTAAGAGGTTGGAAGACCACAGGAAGGATGTGGACCTGTTGGAGCGGGTCCAGAGGAGGCCACGGAGATGCTGCGAGGGCTGGAGCTCCTAGGCTGTGAGGACAGGCTGAGAGAGTTGGGGGTGTTCAGCCTGGAGAAGAGAAGGCTCCGGGGAGACCTTAGAGCCCCTTCCAGTCCTTCAAGGGGCTCCAGGAGAGATGGGGAGGGACTCTGGATCAGGGAGGGGAGCCATAGGAGGAGGGGGAAGGGTTTGACACTGGAAGAGGGGAGAGTTAGATGAGATTTTAGGAAGTGGGGTGAGGGTGGTGAGAGCCTGGCCCAGGTTGCCCAGAGAAGCTGTGGCTGCCCCATCCCTGGAGGGGTTCAAGGCCAGGCTGGATGGGGCTTGGAGCAACCTGGTCTGGTGGGAGGTGTCCCTGCCCAGGGCAGGGGGGGGAACTGGATGATCTTCAAGGTCCCTTCCAACTGGAACCACTCTATGATTCCCCCAGCCCTGCTGAGGGGAAGGACCCTGTCCCCTGGGGCTGCGGGCTGGCACTGGCCACTGCCCCCGTGATGAAGGGCTGCCATGCCGTGGGTAGAAATGCAGCTTCCCCACCACTAGTGATGGACTCTGCATTTCTTCCAGTGCCCAGAGCTGTGGGTGCTGCCTGGGCAGGCTCAGGGGCACCCGGGGTTCCCAGGGGGCTGGGGGTGCCAGCTAGCAAGGTGCTCAGCCTTGGGCAGGGTGGTGGCATCCCCTAGGAGACATTGGGACACAGCCTGGGGTGGCACGGGGCTCTTCTGCTGATGGCACGGGGCCCACAAAGGAGGTTTTTGGGACCCAGGCCTTTGTGAATCACCCCAGTCTCCAGCTGGGGGTTGTGTTCCAGCTTGTTTAAGCTTGGCTTTGGCCTCCCACCCCTCGGGGCAGCTCTGATCTGCTGGGGCCTCCCCACTGCAGCTCCCAAGGGCATCAGCTTGCAGCCAAGGAGTGGGCATGGGCAGCAGCCCAGGAGATGGATGGTGAGGTAGATGCCTCCTGCGAGGACCCAGGACTCCACCAGCACTGAGGCAGAAGGTGGGACTCACAACTGAGTCACAAGCCCCATCTTTTCCTTCTGCAAGCCAAACAGCAGCTATATAGTGCTGGAAGGGGCTCTGGGGGTGTCTGGGCACACACCTCCTGCAGCCCCAGGGGCTTTGAGGGGAGCTCAACAGCCCCTCTCCCAGGGAAGGTACGGTCCTCTAAGGGATGGCGAGTGTCCCGGGATAATTCCCCAGAGGCCAGCTTCAGCTGCAAGGAAGGTGAGGTGCCCAGCAGGTCTGAGGTGTGATGGTCCCTCCCAAAGCTGAGCCAGCTTTTGGCTGGAGGTCATCCCATCTGGCCGGGCTCGGCTCCCTGGGGGAACACATCCCAGCTCCAGGAGCAGATGCAGAGCCCTGACAGGCAAGTGGCAGCTCTGGTTTTTGGGTTTTTTCCATCCTTTTCCCAAGCTTTCATTAGTGAAATAGCTGAAAGAGCCCTGGGTGCCTGGAGAAGAGCTCGTGGCAGCGACAGGCATGGGGTGGGCCATGTTGTCTCTGTTGACCAGTGGCATCCCCCAGCCTGACCCCTCTCCTGCTCCCTTTCTCTGCCTGACTTGGTTTCCAGCCATTGGTGCTGGGGTCTGACAAGGTCAAAACTAATTCCTTTTCCCCACCTGCCCCCCACAACCTGGCCCCTTGTTCCCAAACCACTCCACATCCATGTTTTCCAAAGTTGGCAGAACCACCACCACCTCCCCAAAGGGCTGGGGCTCGGAAACACACCTGCAAAGGTGTGCACTGTTTTTGTGTAGGTCCTACACAGCCTTCACATCCCATTCCTCCCACCTCCCTTTCCACATCTAGGGGCTGCAGAGCCCCAGAAGGAGTTCCTCCTCAATACCAGCAACTGCCCAGAGCATCTTCCAGCCCATCCAGGACTGGAAGTGGATTTCTGAGGTGGTGGCACGATAGAAACATGGTAGATACACACGTGTTTTCACACACAGCCCCCCCTCCAAGCCCAGGCTCATCTCTCTTGGGCTCCAGGTATCCCTGCCTCCTGGGCTGCCCCGTGGCAGAAGGAGAAAGAGATGGGGCTGGAAGGAGGTTTTGCTGCCAGGGAATATAAACCCACCCCCCCGGCCCCCAGCTCTGATCCAGCCTTAGGATGGCTGGGACCATTAATGAAATGTTTTCGGCGGTGGCTCTGTGATGCAGCGGGGGCTTGAAAGTGAGAGGGAAATGTCAAACTCTCTGCCGTAGCAAAATCACTGCCTTGGAAAAAAAAAAAGAAAGAAAAGAAAAGAGAAAAAGCAAAGCAAAAGCAAGAAGTAATATATCTTGATCCCTTTTCCCCCATAAAACCCTGGGAGGCTGGTGGAAGGAGCGGAAAGACTGAGCTAAGCCTGCAGGAAATTAAACATGAAATGAAAACAAGCTCAAGTTATTCAATTCTCTCATCCCAGGCTCCAATTTCCCATTCCAGGGCACTGATAAAATGGTGTCCAGTTTCAGCCGCTCAAGGATGAATTCTGGCTCTGTTCTTGCAGGCTGGAAAGCAAAGGGCTGGTGGCCATCTCCGGGATGAGGGCAGACAGCCCGGCTTGTAGCAAAGGGATGGGGTCCTGGAGAGAGACAGACAGACAGACAGACAGACAGATGGAGGCTGAGCAGAGAGAGGAGGGCAGTAGGGCCAGAGGACCAGGGTGGGCAGAAAGGATGCTGCCAGAGCAGGGCCACGTGAAGCTTGGATGCAGTGGGGAGCGATGCAGCAAGGTGTGGGGGGGGTGTCTCGAGCACAGGGCATGGGGCAGGGGGCTGGACCCAGCCCCACAACTGCCACCAGCCTCCCCCTCCATCACCGTGCTGAGAGGGGGCAACCAAAAAAAAAATAAAAATCACCTTTTTCTTTAACCTGGAGGAAGGATGAATGCAGAGATGCTGGCCCCAGGGGTCTGGGTGAGGTCCCATCCACCCATGCCCGGAGTGGGGCACGTGGGACCGGGTGCCAGGGTGGTGGCAGTGGGACAGGAACCTCCTGCTTCCTTTGTTCCAGGACATTCCCAGCCTCTCCTCTGCCCCCCTCACCCCTCAGCCCATCAGCTGCGTGTGTGCATATGGATCTAGGTACCAGCATATGGCTGGGATGTTTATGGAGCCACGGAACGTTTTCTGTGCTGTAGGATTTTATTGGGCTGATTTCAGTATTATCAAAGCATCGTCTGCAGGAGTCGGAGGCGTGACACAACCCTCCCCTCCCACTCTTCACTGTTAACACTGAGACACAGCCCTCAAGGAGGCTGCTTATCCCTGGGTAGGAAAATTCCCCCTCCTGACCCCAGAGGACACGCTGCAACCTCTGCTGGCACATCCCTCTCCCATTGACAGGCAACGAAAGGAAAACGGGCACTTGTTGGCTTTTTAGATTTGCTTTTCAAAAGCAGGTGTCGCCTCAGATTGAGGAAATCAGGAAATAGTTAGGATTAGTTGTTTTTTGGTGGGGTTTTTTTTTGCCCTGACATGGTGGCAATACACATTGCCCTGCGTGCCCTGTTTGCCCTGGGGAGAACTGCAACATACCGAGCAGGACCTGGATTGGTGGAGGAAGGAGAACCTCAAAAAAGCAGCCCAAACCTTGTGGCAAGCCTTTGGGGAGCAGCAGCTGACTACCAGCCCCCGGAGCATCCCTGGTGCCCCCCCAGGCACCAGCTTGGATTGGTGGAGGAAGGAGAACCTCAAAAAGCAGCCCAAACCTTATGGCAAGCCTTTGGGGAGAAGCAGCTGACTGCCAGCCCCCGGAGCATTCCTGGTGCCCCCCCAGGCACCAGCACTTGGACTGAAGATGCTCTTCCTTTCACCCAAAGGCGATATTTTCCCACATCTCCCCAGCCCACCAGCCACCCGGGGGGGTGGCAATTCGGGGAACTGCCAGTTTAAACCATTTTGCTCTCTTCAATCCATTGGGAAATGAGGCTGGAGACCCTCTTCTTCTTCTGCTGGCCCCTGGGAAACCTCCCTGCGGCTCCGGCGGGCCGGCTGCCGTGCCATCCCTGGGGAGGGGATGTTCCACCAGGCTCCTGAGGTGTGGGGCCGGGCTGGCCAGAGGAATGGCCCCATATGCCTGGCACATGTCGGCCCCATCCCCTTCCCTACCTGCTCTCCTCCCCTCTGTGCACAGCAGGGCCTCCTCCGCCCCAGGAGGAACCGGGTCACCACCCCTAACTTTGAATCTGCAGATCAAAGCCCCACGGTCTGGGCTGGTCCCCGGGACTGGCCCGCAGCTGGGCTGGAGAGGCCGTGCCAAGAGGAGGTAGAAGAAAAGCAGACGGATGCCTGGGGGCATCAGACCCGCTCCAGTGAGGAGGCTCTTCATCTGCAGCCTGTGCTCAAGCTGGGATAACGTCAGGGCTCCTTTCTGCTGGTGCTTTTTGCAGCCGCTGAAATGTCCCATTTGGGATGGGGAATGGGGGGTTAATACCAGGTTGCTGCTTGGGATGTGGCTAGTCTGGCCAGCTTGTGGATGGCCCATGGCAGTGGCATCACCATGACGCTACACCATCTCCTCCCAGCACACCACAAGACTCTTCGCTGGCCACGCTGGGGGAAGCCACCAGAGACACCCGTGGTGGGGAGAAACTGAAGCAGAAGAGCCCGAAATGACTCTCCCAGCACAAGCAAGAAGGTCATCCCAGCCCAGAAACCACACACCCTGTCTCTCTCCCCATGGCAGCTTCTAGCTCTGCTGATGGAGGCTGTGGATGCCACCGCTCTCCTGCCCCCCCACCCCCAAAAAGCCACCCCACCCTGTGCTGAGCTCCTAGTTTCCCCAATATCCCCCTGGAGACGTGGGCTTCCCACCTGGTACCCGGTTCTCCCAGCTGCCTGCCAAGCCTTACTGATGTGTGTCATCCCCCCCTCAACCCAAAACCTGGCTCTCTCCTCCAAAGTCACCGTGTAAAACTCGAAGCAGAAGCGAGCGAGCGGCTCCAGGGCTGCTCCTTTCATGCACTGGCCCTGACCTGCACAACCCAGCCCCTGGTGATGGCCCGCATCTCTCCCTGCCTTCAAAGCAGCTCCTGATTGATGTTCTTCCCCTGACTCACAAGCTTCCAGAGGCTTTGAAGACACTGGGCCGGGCTCTGATCTCCCTTACGCCGATGCAAATGAGGAGCGATGGTGCTGACAACAGCTCAATAACCCACACTGAAGTCAAGCCAGCCAAAATAAGAGCAGAAAGGGAGCTGTGGGTCCTGCCTCTGCCTTGGAGGGATCTCGAGCAGGGCTGGGAAGCGGAGCCCTGCAAACCCTGCGAAAGAAAACTCGCTGGAGAGCAAAGGACGTGTAGCTCTGCAGAGGGCACTTCTTTCCTGCAGCTAAGGAGGGAAGGCTGTTAGGCTTTTTGGGTTGTTTTTTTTTAAGTAGTTAAGAAAAATAAGCCTGAGAGTTCGGTGAGAAATGCAAGCTCTTGGCCAACGGCACCTTCGTAGCCAGGATTCAGCTCGGGGAAAGCCCCAGCACTGCTGGTTTCAGCCTGGCAGCAGCAGCAGCACATGGAGAATGTGGTCACACTTCTCCTCCAAGGCAGGAGAGCTGCAGGTGGACAGTGGTGGGGTCATGCTGATGTAGGGGCAGGAGGAAGATGGGTTAGCCCAGGGGAAAGCAGGCAGTGGGAGGCAAGAGCTGTGAATCACAGAATCCCAGAATGATACGGGGTTGGAAGGGACCTCTGGAGATCATCTAGTCCAACCCCCTGCCACAGCAGGGCCACCCAGAGCAGGTCCCACAGGAACGTGTCCAGGTGGGGTTGGAATGTCTCCAGAGAAGGAGACTCCACCACCTCCCTGGGCAGCCTCTGCCAGGGCTCTGCCACCCTCACAGCAAAGAAGTTCCTCCTCATGTTGAGGTGGAACTTCTTATGTTCAAGTTTGTGCCCATTCCCTCTTGTCCTGTCCCTGGGCACCACTGAAAAAAGCCTGGCCCCATCCTCCTGACACCCACCCTTGAAGTATTTATAGGTGTTGATCAGATCCCCCCTCAGCCTTCTCTTCTCCAAATATCCCCAGACAGGCAGGACACCAAAAGCTGGGCATCACCTTTTGTCCAGGATGCTCCCAGTCTGGAGCACAGCCTGGTTCCAGACCCTCCATGGGGATGTGGGGCAGAACGGCTGCTCCCCATGGGGCTTGTGTAGGAAGCCCTGCCTGCCCGTGGGCTCCCCAGGGTTGTGGGGCTGCCTGGCACTGCCACCCCCCCTGCCCCATTCACAGCCCCCCCATCTCCCTCTCCCCAGGTGTGGTTCCAGAACAGGAGGGCGAAGTGGCGCAAGCGGGAGCGGTTTGGCCAGATGCAGCAGGTCCGGACCCACTTCTCCACCGCCTACGAGCTGCCCCTGCTCACCCGCGCTGAGAACTACGCCCAGGTGAGCACATTCCCCCCCCAGACACCCCCATCTGTCTGTCCCCACACCTGCCGGACACACTGCCTCTTCTCCCAGTGTCCCCGCCGCCAAGCGATGCTTCACTTCTCGGGTCCATCCCCCTGCCCTCAGGCAAGGCTGGAGGAGCACCGGGGCCATATAGGATCACAGGACAATCATAGGATGGGTTGGGTTGGGTTGGAAGGGACCTGAAAGATCATCCAGTTCCAACCTCCTGCCCTGGGCAGGGACACCTCCCACCAGACCAGGTTGCTCCAAGCCCCATCCAGCCTGGCCTTGAACCCCTCCAGGGATGGGGCAGCCACAGCTTCTCTGGGCAACCTGGGCCAGGCTCTCACCACCCTCACAGCAAAAAATTTCTTCCCGAGACCTCATCTAAATCACAGAACCACAGAATCACATGGGGTTGGAAGGGACCTCTGGAGATCATCCAGTCCAACCCCCTGCCACAGCAGGGCCACCCAGAGCAGGTCCCACAGGAGTGTCCAGGGGGGGTTTGAATGTCTCCAGAGAAGGAGACTCCACCACCTCCCTGGGCAGCCTCTGCCAGGGCTCTGCCACCCTCACAGCAAAGAAGTTCCTCCTCATCTTTAGGTGGAACTTCTTATATTCAAGTTTGTGCCCGTTCCCTCTTGTCCTGTCCCTGGGCACCACTGAGAAAAGCCTGGCCCCATCCTCCTGACACCCACCCTTGAAGTATTTATAGGTGTTGATCAGATCCCCCCTCAGCCTTCTCTTCTCCAGACTAAACAGACCCAAGTCCCTCAGCCTTCCTCATCAGAGAGATGCTCCAGGCCCCTCACCATCTTTGTAGCCTCTGCTGGACCCTTCCTGTCCTGGGAAACCACAGCATCCTCCCAACCACTGGGCTGCCCCCCTTTCCACAGCACTGCCTGCAGAGGCTGCATTAGGGTGTTCTTTAGCTGGAGGGGCCAGGCTGTGCCCCCACAAAGCACCCCCTCCATCCTGCCCTGCTCCTCTTCCCACCACTCAGAATTGTCTCCAGGCTGTGGGATGCCCAGCTCCCAGCTGTCTCCCCAACCAAATCCCCACCATGGCCAAGCCGAGAGCGTTTGACCTCTCTCCTGCTTGGCGTGTGGTGTGTCCCCCCCGCCCCCAGCCCCCAAAACTGAACAAGAAGCCCTTAGGAAATGGCCAAGAGGTGCCAAAATCAGCTCCTCAAGCAGATGATGCTCTCGGCAGCCTTTTCAGAGCTCCCTTCCCTTGCCTTTGTAACTCACACTGCCCCCTCCCTCTGCGCCACCCTCCCCTCCGTGTTGATCAGATCAAAAAAAAAAGAAAATAAAAAAAAGAAAAAAAAAAGAAAAGCCATTTGCAGGAGGTGGGAGATGAGAGAGGGGCGGTGGGATGAAGGACCCTTTGCTCTGCTCGCCTCCCTCCCCTGCTTTCATCCTGCCTGCCCAAGTGTGTGACCCCCCCCTCAGTTCAATGGGCAACCAGAGGGGCAAGGAAACTGCCCCTGGGGAGGGGGGGGGCTGGGGGCAGCTCAGCTCCCATGGGCACCTCTGTGTGATGGAAAAAAGCCTTTTCCTCGGCAAAGCTGGGGCAGGAGAGGGGGTCAGCAGCCTCTGCAGCATCTCCTCCTGCCCCTTCCCTCTGTAGCTGCATCAGGTTCTTCTGTGCCAAGAGCATCCCTGCCCCGAAAAGCGCTGAGGGTGCAAAAAAAGAGGAAAGAAATGGGAGAGGAATGGCTGGGAGGGGGAGCAGATGGAGACAGAGGCCCTATGGCAGAGGAGGGGCAGAGTCCTGCTCCCATCAGAGTTAGTCTCCCGTGCTCCCTGTCCAGGCTGGATTTTGGAGGGGACCCACAGGCTTGTGGGGAGCTGTAGGTGCTGCAGATGGTGGTGGTGGGGCAGAGTACCACATCCCGGCTGCCCCTTGCCAGCCTCAGGGGCCAGGGCTGGACACACTCGCTCTCTCTTCCCCCTGGGGCCACGTCCCACGTGGGGCTGCCCTGACACTTAGAATCATAGAATCATTCAGGTTGGAAAGGACACACAAGATCATCAAGTCCAACCATCAACCCTACTCTACAAAGTTCTTCCCTACACCATATCCCCCAACACAGCATCTAAACGACTCTTAAACTCATCCAAGGATGAGTTTAAACCACCTCTCCAGGCAGCCTAGTCCAGGGTCTGACCACTCTAGCTGTGACAAATTTCTTCCTGATGTCCAGTCTAAACCTACCCTGTTGCAGCTTGAAGCCATTCCCTCTCGTTCTGTCACTAATTGCTTGTGAGAAGAGACCAGCACCAACCTCTCTACAATGTCCTTTCAAGTAGTTGTAGAAAGTGATGAGGTCTCTTCTCAGCCTCCTCTTCCTCAAACTAAACAGTCCCAGCTCCCTCAATTGTTCTTCGTAAGATTTATTCTCCAGGCCCTTCACCAGCTTCGTTGCCCTCCTCTGCACCCGCTCCAGCACCTCCATGTCTCTCTTGTATTGAGGTGCCCAAAACTGGACACAACACTCCAGGTGTGGCCCCACCAGTGCTGAGTACAGGGAGACAATTGCCTCCCGACTTCTGGTGCCCACACTATTTCTAATCCAAGCCAGGATGCCGTTGGCTTTCTTGGCCACCTGGGCACACTGCTGGCTCATATTTAGCTGCTTGTCAATGAGAACCCCCAGGTCCTTTTCCATTGGGCAGCTCCAGCCATGATTCCCCCAGCCCGTAGCGATGCAGGGGGTTGGTGTGGCCCAAGTGCAGGACCTTGGTGAACCTTCACCTTGGTGAAGCTTGGCCTTGGTGAAGCTAGGCCTTGGTGAAGCGCGGCCTTGGTGAAGCGCGGCCTTGGTGAAGCGCGGCCTTGGTGAAGCTCATCCCCCTTAACGTTGGCCCATCCATCCAACTTCTTTCCCCACTCCCAGATCCAGAACCCTTCTTGGATCGGCAACAACGGAGCCGCCTCCCCCGTGCCCGCCTGCGTCGTCCCCTGCGAGACGGTGCCCTCCTGCATGTCCCCCCATGCCCACCCCCACCCGGCTGGCGGCGTCTCCGAATTCCTCGGCGTCTCCGGCCCCGGCGGCCACGTGGGACAGACACACATGGGTGGCCTCTTCGGTACGGCCGGCATGAGCCCCGGCCTCAACGGCTACGAGCTGAACAGCGAGCCGGACCGCAAGACCTCCAGCATCGCTGCCTTGAGGATGAAGGCGAAGGAGCACAGCGCCGCGATCTCCTGGGCCACATGACAGGCCTGCACCGTCCCCGCAGCGCCCGCCGGGCACCGAGAGAGCAGAGGAAGGAGGGGAGAGGAGGGGAGGGGGGGACAACACGACACAGCCCAGTAAATCCATCCATCCATCCATCCATCCATCCATCCATCATCCATCCCAGCTTGGACTCCAGACAGCAGTGGCCTCCTCGGGGATCCCAACGCAGCACTTTCGCCCACCCCGGCCGTAGGAAGCACCCGCCGTTAACGTAAGTGGCACGTTCCAAGGCGGGGAGAGGGACCTGCTGTGGGGCAGCACCTCTCCCGAGAGAGTCAGAGACCTGGGGTCGGGGGGTGGCCTCCCCTCTCCCCGCCGCCTCCCCAAAAACCTGGGCATTTTTTATTTTTTTTTAATTTTTTTCTCCCCACTCCTTTTTTTTTCTAACGCCGGAGCCGCCTGTTCCAAAAAGAGCAAGAGCCTGCTGGGGGGGTCAGCAGGTTCCCCCCATCCCTCCAAAAAACACACACACATGTTTTCTCCTCCTCATTTGTCGACGGCATCGCTCAGATCTGTTCTGCCCTGGGCAGGGGACTGGATGGGGGACTCTGGCACCAGCAAAGAGACACCTCTCAGGTGTCTTCAGCAAGGAACCTTTAGCAAGGAACCATCCTCTTTAGCAAGGAACCATCCTCATTAGCAAGGAACCATCCTCTTGAGCAAGGAACCACGACTTCCCACAGCTGAACGGGCAACGGGGCCGAGAAGAAGACACCCCGATCTTCTTTAGCAAGGAACCATCCTCTTTACAAGGAACCATCCTCTTTAGCAAGGAACCATGACTTCCAACACCTGAACGGGCAATGGGGCTGGGAAGAAGACACCCCAGGGCTGGGAAGAAGACACCTTGGGGCTAGAAAGAAGGCAACTTGGTTATCCTGCCTCCTTCTACCCCGCTCCCTTCCTCTCCATCCTGCCCTCCGAGGTGAAGGGGGTGCCTTTCTTCCCCAGTCCACCCAAGGGGCCACCACGCTGGTGGGGTCACCTGGCTGGAGGTGCACCTTGGCAGATGACAGCTCCCCCAGCACGGCCGGCCACCCCCCAGGCTTTGCTTTGCCACCATGGGGGTCAGCCTTGAGGTTCATGGGTGTGGTGGGGGCAGCAAAACATCTCCCTCTGGCTTCCACTGGGGCAGGGGGTGGGAATGACTACCCTCCATTGCGAGACAGCAGCTATGGTGGTGGTGGTGGGGGGGGTACAGTTGCTGTGTAGACCTACGGGTCCCCAAAGAGGCCTCAAAGGTCCCCAAAGAGACCTCAGAGGTCCCCCAAAGAGACCTTGAGGTGTTGAGAAACACCTCAAGCCTTAGTGCGCTGCCAGGGTTGCATGAGGCCATCAAACTCCTCATGTGTCTTCTCCTGGGGGCAGATAACTGACAATGACAGGCCACCTCCCTCTCCCCAACCCCTTCATCCCTCTACCCCAAGGGCTCTGCTGCACACAGGCTCTGTCGGCACCTCCGTATGGGGTGGGGGGACACAGCACAGGGACCCCCAGGCTGGAGGAGATGACATTGCCCCATCTCCAGCCACCTGGGATCCTCTTCACCTTGCAGAGGAAGCAGGAGACACCAGTTTGTGGGTGCCCACGTGCCTTCCCCCGCTCTTCCCTCCCGGGGCTCTTACCTCCACAGGGCTGTTAAGTCAAATCTCCTTCTATAACCTTTTTCAGTGACCTCGTAGCACCAGGAATAATTTTGGAAGATCCTTTTGCCCCGGTGAATTGTCACCGAGGGGGAGCTCTGCAGGCTCAGCCACCTCTTAAGATTCACAAAGGAACTACGGGATTTTAGTGCCATTAAAAAAAATAAAATAAAATGGTGTGTCCCCCTCCCTGCCCTCCCCTCCTCAGGCTCAGCGTCAGGTGATCTTGTAGGTCGAGGTCTAGGAGAATTTAGTGGTCTTGGAAAGGGCTCTAAATAAGCTACAACCAAATGTCAGGTTTGGGGTTAACACGATGAACAAGTGTTTCCATAGCGCATAGACTGCCACGTCCTACCTAAAGGGTACACCAGTCCTACATCAATTGGAATATCTATTTCTTGGAATAAGAACAGGCCAGGAGGACTGTCCCTTTCCTCGCCTCAGAAAAGGAGATACCTTCCTTGGTAGTCACAGGGAACCAGCACACAGCCATCCACCAGGGCCTCTCCCAAGGACGTGTGTCCCAGCTGAGGATGCTGCCTGGTCGGAGGTGTGTGTCACCCCCACTGAGCACCCCGGGAGCTTCTGAGGGTCCCAGGCCACCCAGGGACAGGTGGTGGCAGGAGGTGATGACCTAAAGGGTACACCAGTCCTACATCAATTGGAATATCTATTTCTTGGAATAAGAACAGGCCAGGAGGACTGTCCCTTTCCTCGCCTCAGAAAAGGAGATACCTTCCTTGGTAGTCACAGGGAACCAGCACACAGCCATCCACCAGGGCCTCTCCCAAGGACGTGTGTCCCAGCTGAGGATGCTGCCTGGTCGGAGGTGTGTGTCACCCCCACTGAGCACCCCGGGAGCTTCTGAGGGTCCCAGGCCACCCAGGGACAGGTGGTGGCAGGAGGTGATGTCTCCAGGAGGTGGTATCTCCAGGAGGTGACATCTCCAGGAGGTGGTAGCTCCAGGAGGTGATGTCTCCAGGAGGTGTTGTCTCCACAAGGTGGTATCTCCAGGAGGTGACATCTCCAGGAGGTGGTAGCTCCAGGAGGTGATGTCTCCAGGAGGTGATATCTCCAGGAGGTGATGTATCCAGGTGGTATCACCAGAAGGTGGTATCTCCAGGAGGTGGTAGCTTCAGGAGGTGATGTGTCCAGGAGGTGATATCTCCAGGAGGTGATGTATCCAGGAGGTGGTATCACCAGAAGGTGGTATCTCCAGGAGGTGGTAGCTTCAGGAGGTGATGTCTCCAGGAGGTAATATCTCCAGGAGGTGGTATCACCAGGAGGTGGTATCTCCAGGAAGTGATATCTCCAGGAGGTGGTATCACCAGGAGGTGGTATCACCAGGAGGTGATGTCTCCAGGAAGTGATATCTCCAGGAGGTGGTATCTCCAGGAGGTGATGTCTCCAGGAGGCTCAGCTCCAGGCAGGCAACCTCAATGCCGAGAGCATTTTCCAAGGTGCTCCAGGGAGCGCAGATGCTTCCCCAGCTCAGCAGGGAACCCTGCGACCAGCCTGGTACCATCATTGAGAAGGCCAGGGAGCCAGGGGCAGAGCTGAGGAGCAGGCGGTGGGGCAGGTGGGCACATGGGGACGGGTTCCTCCTGGACTTCCACGGGGCCAGGATTTCACCGGAGCTTTTTAAGAGCCCGGGGGGATTAGGTGCTGTACCCTTTGTCTTGTTAGAGAGAGAGGAGAGTCTCCTG